GCCTAGCAAAACTCAGAAGTCCAAGAAAAAAGGCATAATGCCTTTACTGATCTATATTTTGAAGCTTTTCATTTCATAATGTGATGTGCTACAAATGGAATATTTTTACATAAACCTTAGAATAGCGTGGAATTTTCTACTACCATCGCTGCTGACATGTACCAAAAAATCTTATCAATTTCTATATTTGTAATGATAACAAAATGTTATGTTACACAATATGTTAGCGCTCATAAAGCACTGAGTATATGGGGTATTTTAAATTTGAAAGATGAGCTCATGATGAGTGAGATTTAAATAGCCATATTTTAAAAAATCTCAATGTAAAACGAAATTTGGTTTCCTAATGTTACACAAATTTGACAGTCATCGAAAATCCTTCTTCACTCTAAGATAGGCAGTAATTTTTATTTTTGAAAGCAGAAAAACATATTAAAGAAATAAGATTAATCAATAATAACACTGCCAAAAGTTTAAGTCCATAGATTCACATGCAGATAATACCATGGTAGAGAAGTACATACTTTAATCTAGATAGAAAAATCAATAAAACATTTTCTAAAAATTTGTGTGTCAATTTTTGGACTAGCAAATAATCTGAAAAACATTTCTGGAATCAAGAAACCCTTCCAACTATTCCTCTCACATTGGTTAACATGCTCAGATCTTGTATACAGTAAATATTCTAGGTAGAAATTTTGTCTTTTGATTCCTTATTTTTTCCTCCCACTTTTTCTCCCTTTCCCTAACGTGAATATGGTGAGCTAAGCAGACTATTAAATAAAAAGGGCACTTTTTATTAAATCAATCATTTAATTATCTTTAAAAATCATCAAAAATCTCTGCCAGATTTCATTTAATACAAACTTAAATCATTGATTTAATAAACTATCCATTGTCAATTACCACTGATGATAAAAGATGAGCTGAAACATTCCAATAACTTCTCAATGTCATACAATATGTGTATTTTCTTCAATGGGAAAAATAATTTCTGTTGGACATAACTCATAGAAAAGTCTTAGTTGGCTGAAATATTGCATAGTTTAGCTGGTCATGCCATTCAATCTGCTGTTTGCATATATAAGCACAATCTAAACAATAGTTATTTTAGTTTAAATTTAAAATTTATTTGTTGTAGGATACATATAGTACTAACAAAAATAAAAATAAATAAAAATTAATAAATATGAATGCTCATCCTTCATTCTAATACCTCAACAAATGAAATCATTTTCAGTTTTTAGGGCACTTGACCATTCTTCGCCCTCATGCATTCTAGACTTTCCCTGACAGTACAGGTAAAATTTTGTGTTCTGCTTTTCTTAACATGATCTCATAAGCACTTTACATATTGCCATAAAGTCTTCATAACTATCAAGAAAATAAATTAATTGTGTAAGTTACCATAACTTAACGGATCATTTCCTCGCTTAGAAATGTTACCTTCCTCTTGTCTGCCCCAAGCCCTGTTTTTGGCACTACCGTCAAGCACCAGCATTTTTATTTACACAGTTTCCCCATTGTTTTTGATGTTTCCCCCTTCAGATAAATTCTCTGAAGTACAGACTTACAAATAGGAATATTATCATGGCTCTTATATTTCTAAAGTATTTTCTAAATTTGACTGCCATTGATAGCAATGTAGGTACCTACGATTTGCACTGTGACCTTCACCACCCCTTAGGTATTCGTATTTTTTATTGGAGGAAGGAGCACTAATTTCATGGAGATGAAACTTCTATGATTTCATACTAACGAAATCTCATAAGTATTGTTTAATCTGCATTACTATTACTATTGTTCTTAAATACTTTGAAATATTTGTTAATCATATTTCCTATTATGTAGATTATCTCTAGAGTTGTGTGTCTTAGTATTTATCTCAAAAATTTACGTGTGTGGTTTTTTTTTTGTTTTTGGAGGAAGATTAGCCCTGAGCTAACTACTGCCAGTCCTCCTCTTTTTGCTGAGGAAGCCTGGCCCTGAGCTAACATCCGTGCCCATCTTCCTCTACTTTATATGTAGGATGCCTACCACAGCATGGCGTGCCAAGCAGTGCCATGTCCGCACCCAGAATCCGAACTGGCAAACCCCGGGCCGCCGAGAAGCTGAACGTGCGACCTTAACCACTGCGCCACTGGGCCAGCCCCTATGTGTGTTTTTTATACTCTATCTGGAAAATAACCCTATACCATACTAATTGTAAATATTTTTTCCCAATATAGATTGTTTTACTTTTACTTTGAGCTTTGGTTTTTTTTTTGGTAGCAGATAAGTTTAATATTTTAATATTATTAAATATGTTAAGTATTTTGCAATGTGACTTTTTTCTGTTACTTCAAAGCTCAGATAATGGTCCTACCAAATGTCTGACAAATATGAAAGTTCCCCCATGATTTGATTTAAAAACATAGATATTTATCTGTTTAATCCATCTGGAATGCATTTTAGCATATGTTGGGAGATGTGGATCTAAATTACTTCCTTTTCAAACTTGCTAATACCCCAACCATTCATTAAATTCTCCTCCCATTTCCATTGTTCCATATGCTCTACTATTATACATATTAATTCTAATATACAACATGTTGAGATTTTTTATACTTTACTAGATCTAGTACAGAACCAAAAAAGTTAAATTATATCATTTTTTATGATTTGATATCTGGAATGGCTTTTCAACATTTATAGCTTCTTTTAAAAAATATCCCTTTATCATCATCAGCTTATTTTTCCAAATAGATCTTTATCATTCTATCACCTTCCAAGGAAATCCAGTTGAACATTTTATTGAGATGATACCCTTATACTTATAAATTAATGTGGAAAGCTTTAATAGCTTAATCTTTATATCCAGAAACATAACTTGTCTCTTCACTAATTCAAGTTTTTTTCTTTATTTTTTTGAGGAAGATTAGCCCTGAGCTAACCACTGCCAATCTTCCCCTTTTTGCTGAGGAAGACTGGCCCTGAGCTAACATCCATGCCCATCTTCCTCTACTTTATACATGGGATGTCTACCACAGCATGGCTTTTTGCCAAGCGGTGTCATGTCTGCACCTGGGATCCGAACCGGCGAACCCCGGGCCACCAAAGCAGAACGTGCGAACTTAACTGCTGCGTCACCGGGCTGGCCCCTCAAGTTTTCTTTTATAACTCACAATAAATAACGTTTTAAAGATATGTCCAGGGCTGGCCAGGTGGCCGAGCAGTTAAGTTCCCACATTCCGCTTCTTGGCGGCCCGGGGTTCGCTGGTTTGGATCCTGGGTGCGGACGTGGCACCACTTAGCAAAAAGCCATGCTGTGGTAGGCGTCCCACGTATCAAGTAGAGGAAGATGGGCATGGATGTTAGCTCAGGGCCAGTCTTCCTCAGCAAAAAGAGGAGGATTGGCAGTAGTTAGCTCAGGGCTAATCTTCCTCAAAAAAAAAAAAAAAAAAAAACAGATATGTCCAATAACAAAGGGTCAGAACGAAATCATGGAAAAGGTGAAGCTATTGGAGTGGGACACATATATATATCTAGGCTCAAATCCTGTGTGATCTTGGGCAAGATGCTTAACTTATCTGAGCCTCAGTTATTTCCTCTGTAATCTGAAGGTAGTAGCACTTCCAGGATTGCTGTAAAGAGTAGGGATAACATATATAAAGCTATTGGAGCATAGCCTGTTTCCAATAAACGTTAGCTCTGATCATAATTTTAAATATAACGTGCTTAGAACTTGACATTTTACAAAGTTCTTTCATGTGTATTATCTCACTTGCTCTGTTTGATCCTCAGGAAACTCCGTTACATGATAATGATGCTGTTGTTGTTATCACTATTAAGACCAAATAGGTAAACATTTCTCTTCTTTTGAATCAAAAGCACAAGCTTATTTCATATCATGCTATATGTAAATGTAATTGAAGATCATCATCACACAATGACCTTGTCCCTGAAGATCTGATGATTTTTTTTCTGCTATAATATTTGTAATTGCCTCTTCACTGTATTTCCTATTAGTTTTACTTGCTTAAAGGAATGCTGTTGATTTTAACATATTTCTTTCATTTTCAACAGTTTTGTTGAGTTCCTTATTACCTCTTAAAGATATGGTTAATTCTTTTGCTTTTCTGGGTTATCACATTTCCAAAATAAATTCTATGTTATGGAATCATGTATTAATAAAATCAGCTACTTACTGGAAAAATGGAAAAACTACGACTTGATATCTGTCTATCATGATATCATGATATATTAAAATCTTCCTGTTGGAAACATAAATTCAAGAAGATTATGTAGCTGTTACTAGTCAGTGTCCTTTGGCTTGTAGGTTGTATTATCTTAAGTATTTTTCTCACCAGTCCTTCAAATCTCACCACTCCCTGCCTGACAGGAAAGGGCTGATGTTATAGTGTGGCAGAAAAAGGACTCAAAGAGAAAGCATACGTCTGGTTTTTTCTTCTTTGTGGGCTTTAAATATCATCCTTGGGGATGAGAGAATAAAGGGATGAGAAGGGAGGAGGTATACACTGCACTGACGTGCTCACTGGGAGAGCTCTGCTGCTTTGCATCTCTTCTTAATGTGCGGCTGGCTGGGCGCTTTCTTATCATTACGTAGAGCTTCCTCTCCCAAACACACCCTTTTATTTTTGCTCCCAGAATATTGTTTCAACAATAGGATACATTTTTTATACCTGGCCTTGTCTTCCCTCATCTATTCCCAGAGTAGGGTGCTTCCTTGGAAAAGGAATGATAATAAATAATAAAATGTCATTTTTTCATTGAATCAGTTGGTTAACATGATCAAAATAATCCACTGCCCAAAGTGATCTAAGTAAGGGAACCCACTGAGTTGCTTCAAAACCATTTCATTTTTACCTAATCATATTTTGTTTTTAAATCAGTTATTAAAAAAAAAATAGCAATAAAGGTTAAAAAAAATGACCAAGATGAGACAATTATTTTCACTGTAGAACCAGAGAATCAGCTTCAGGTATGGTTTCCGTACTCACGGGGAAAATGATTAGAAGTGGATGGATTGACACTGTCCCCACTGTCAGCACTTTCACTGCTGGAAACTTCATCATCTGATTCCCGCACAGAGGAGCAGGGTGAGGAGCCGTCAATTTCTTCAAACTTCCTCTTTAAAATTCCACTCATAGCTGCAGCGCTGTCACATGTACCTGTAACAGGAGCGGGAGCAACGAAGCATTGAAATATTTGACCGCTGACTGTGTAGCCAAGGTCTCTGGAGTCATTTTTATGGGGCTTTTTATACATGAGCTGAGCTTTTCCTTGAAAGGATCACTAAGCAGTTTTTAAAAATATTTTCATATTAACAAAAGTGAAATTAAATTACATACCAGCATTTGACCATTTGGTTACCAAAATATATCAACTATTTGAGACACAGCTCAATGTAGACAATTGAGACACATTTTAATGTAATACCTCTATTCTTTTTTGTTGGCAAATTGAGAAAATCCACCCGAGTCCATGAAATTCTGTAACGAAAATAAATGCCAATGTCCCCCAAAGTCCTAAGTGATTACTCCCTTATATAAAATTCATCCAGAAGAAACACAGATAAGTATGAAAAAAAATCATACTCAAGTTTTAAAATGCAAGAAACCTAATTAGCTGAGCACAACAAAGTGCATGAAATCAGTTCTAAATTTTAAGTAGTTTCCATTTCAATATTGCAAAAAGGTGCAATGTGTCCCCATGATACTTCATTGCTGAAGATGTTGCCACTATTTTGAAACTTCCTGAGGGTATTTACCTGGGAGATAGCACTGACTGAGTGGGAAGGGTGAGGGGTGGGGAGTGGGCATCCTTTCTCCTAAATCCTTTCTCTAGAATGAATGGACTTTCCCCCTCTCCTTGGGCTGCCCTTTCTCCACCTTCCCCATTGACTTTGACATATGCACAGCCAGCTAAAGGGCATAAACTTTCCTTGCAGTGTAAGGATATTTTCAGGAATAAGCTATATATAAATTAGCTTAGACATATGTACATGGTCTTCCATTGCTATATTAGGTTAACTTAGCTGGAAGTATTATTACTAAGTCAATTCCATGCATTCCATCTTCCGTCTCATTTATGTCAGCTGATTTTAACTCTTATTTGAGTTTTAGAAGCCATTCGCTCCTTTTCCTGCCAGAATGTAGCCATCAGTCCCTGTTGATCAGGAGGAAGAAAGACCCTTAAACGATACTGATGTCCACTTAGTTACACTATCCAGGTACTGTTCTCAGAAATCTCTGAAATCACCCCTTCTCTGTGCAGATCACAGAGCAAGCAGCCTGCCCAGATCCCCTTAGCTGGGCCTGCTCTCCAAGCCCTAATTCAGAAGTTCTCAAAGTAGGATACTTGGATTAGCAGCATCAGCATCACCTGGGAGGGAAATTGTTAGAAATGCAAATTCTCAGGGCCCACTCCAAATCTACCAAATCAGAAACTCCCAGGGGTAGGGCCAGCACTCTGAGCTTTATGAATCCCTCCAGGTGGTTCTGATACACACTCAAACTAGAAGACCACTTGAATAATTTTTATTCTGCTCTCCAGTGGCTCTCTCCCTGGACTTTTCCTTACTTGAGGGTGTCCACACACCAGTGCTAGAGACTCACATAACCCTAGTCAAAATCTTGTTGGCCATCCTGGTGTGAGTTCTAGTAAAATTAAGTACAGTATTAGATGTCTCATAAATATTTATCATTAATTTCAATTTCTCCCACTTATCTAAGCACATGTTGAGTAACTGGTGTGTATATGCTTGACCCCTTTGGGTGGAATAGGAGATACAAAAGGGAATGAACATGTTACCTGCCCTCAAGGAGCAAACATCCACTGTGCTGGGCTCCACTGAATTGAAATACTCCCAAATTCATGTTCTACTGCCTTGTTTTACTAATCCATGTCTTTTGCATGACATATTAACAATGGAGATAACTGATGGCGATAAGAAAATATTGCATTGTCCACTCTTTTGAAAATAAAATCTCTATTCTGACTCTGATTTTACCACACTTCAGATTAGCATATTATTTTCTCCATCTTAAAGAGTGTGAAATGCATAAAATGTTCATGTATATCTGAGCAGGGCGAAGAGAAAAACGATATTTTAAGTAAAGTTCTTGAAATAAAAGTAGGACAGGATATAAATTTTAAAATGGTTCACTTCAAACCAGATGCAAAGTAATTCATGAGGGAGAGACTCCAAGACACAAAGTAATACAAGATGGAAACCCATGTTTAAAAAGTACATTTTTATAATAAGCTATTGCGATGGGAACAGTTAAAAACCATGTCCTTCAGCTCCATTTCCCAGCTCTCCTCCCCCAGCTTTCTTAGGAAAGGCGGATTTCTCAAGAATCAAAGACACTCAATTGGGCCACAGAGAACCATGTTTCAACACGGCGAAAGGTCGTACTTGGTGTTCTTCTCTTCCTTTCTCACTTCCTCAAGAATGAGAGGGAAAATTTTTGGAGGGATGATAAGGGAATTGAAAAATCTCTTTTTCCTTTTGTTATTCCATTTGGGACTGGCAAGACTTGAAATAATGGAGTTAAAAGTAGGATGTAATTTCTGTCTACATTTTGGGACTGAAAGAACCTGAGCCAGACCCAAGTCAAAGGAAAGAAGGAACTGACCACTTAGGGTGGGATTAGTATCTAAGCTGGAGATTAAAAATTTAAGTAATTACATGGTGGCATAACTTTAACACATACCCATGAAACTGGGTAAGTGCTAAATTGCTTGTGCAGCAACCAAACATAATACCTGTCCAGTTTCACTGCCTTAAAAAACTGTTTTGTGAGCATAACAAGATGTCATAACAAATTATGAGGGCCAAATGACTCACAGTTTACCAGTATAAAGTATACCTTGATCTAGACCTAATAGTGGAATGGTAAAGGGAGCATGTGGTTTTCTCCTGCATCATCTGACTATTTCACTAGGGAAGAAAGAATACAAGAATTTACGGAGAAGGCCCTGCTAATAAAGAAGTTGTACATACTTGTTTTGCTTGTATCCTGCATTGGTTCTTTCAGAATTTGAGGATAATATGTGACTAGTTAGGTACAGATACAAGTGAGTAGAATGAATGCCTGTCCTATGGCTGCCATAGCTTCTTAAATATCCACTTAGTATATTTTTGTTCCTAAAGATGAAGCATAATTAAACTTGGTAGATATGAAGCCAATGAAAAAATGATCAACATTTCAAACTGAATTTTCATAGCATCAAAGCCCAGAGAACAAAAGATAAATCTGGACAGGCATTAATTAAGCCTAAATATGAGAAGCTGAAACTCTAATCTTTGGTAACAGCCATTTTAACGCAACTACTGTTTTCCAATTGATGAAACACATGCTAGTCAAGGGCATCACCATTTCTCACTTGGACTATGACAAGAGCCTCCTAATTACTCTCTCCCATCCACTACAGTTTGCTTTCAATGTGTCTTCCAGGTTGCAGGCAGAACGATAAATTTAACATGCAAATCTGATCATGTCAGTCTATAGCTTGAAACTCTTAAGTAGCTTTGGATTGCCTTAGGATAAAGTTCAAAATCCTCAAAATGGCTTAGAAAGTCCTTAACAATCTACTTTGGCTAACCTCTTCATCTTCATTTTGAGCCACTGGCCTTCTTGTCAGTATTTCAGCTTTAATAATCTTTCAGTTTCTCCAATCTGCCATTTCCCTCTGGCCTCTAGGCTTGCTGATATACTGTTTCTTCTGGTCTACTTTCTAATTTCTTTTCCCATAGCATTTACCACCTTCTAAATCCATATTATCTATTTCTGTATTTCTATGTTTATTACTTATTGTTTTTACCCCCTGCTAAAAGATACAAGGGCAGGTATCTTTGTTTTCTTCACTGATGTTCCAGGGGTCTAGAACAAACAGTGCCTTATATATAATAGGTGCTCAATAAATATTTGTTCAATGTATGAATAAAACCCTTCCATTTCAATACTTAATTACCTTATCAGTGTCTGTTTTCTCTCCTAGAATGAAAGATCCATGAAGCAGGAATCATGTTCATCTCATTCACCACTCTTTCTCTCCCGACTAACAAAATATCTGGCATATTTGATTGAATGAGAATCAAAATGAGAGATAAAATTGACCTCAAAACGTCATACAACTTTTTTGCTTGCAAGCAACCCAAAAGCCAATTCTAGCTAACTTAAGCACAAAGACATCTGTTGGAAAAATACTAAACTAGTTCATGCAATCTAAGATGGAGCTGAAATCCAAAATTGAGGAAATGCACGAATTAGGACAGTTTCTAGGGTTACAGCTGCAGAAACACCTGTATCTTTTCTCAAGAGCACCACTGTTACCAGGTTTAAGTCCAGCAACTTCCCTCTTTGTCTCGCAGTTCAAATTTAATGTTCCAAGGAGTGAGCAATTTTTTTGGCCCATCTTGGTCAGGTGCTGGCCCCTTGATTACTCAACTACATGGCCAGTAGGCAGGGAGCCACCCAATTACGTACCACTCCAGAGAATCTCACCCAGAGGCTTCGATAAGTTCAATTGCATTTCCAAGCCAATATTCTCTCCTTATCTAACACTGATTCATCTTTTTTTTTCATTTATTAATATAGTCCATGCATTCACCACTTGGCCAACTTCTCAGCTTGGGATTCCTCTTTCCCCATAACCACGTGCCCTTTCTATTGTCAAATTTAATTAAGAACCACTTTATTTTAAAACTCCAATAAACCTCTTGTGATTTTGGATATCTGTTATTCTTAATTAATGTATTACTATTTATGTATTCCATATTTGTGTAAGACATAACCACTGCCCAGGAGCCTCTGAGCACATTTAATGAAAAAATAGTATAAAAGTATGTGTTTCCACCTCTCTTCTCAAAAAAATACTGATAAACTACACTAGCTGTTCTATGGTTATAAGTACAATTATTTTATTTAATATATTTCTGGCCTATTGCAAAAGCAAAGAGAACGATGAGCCCAAAGGAAAAGTATCAAAAGCCAGAAGGATGTAGAGTGAAGATAAGTGGGAGAGTTTGGCTAAGAATACTGATGGGGTTCAGGGCAGGTGGCCCCAAGATGCACCACTCGTATGCAGATTATTTTGAGCTGAAGACAAGAAAGGCTCAGAACACTCAGGAAGAACATTCCCAAAACTGCCTAAAAGAATTTAG